AAGAGAGAGAGAGAGAGAGAGAGAGAGAGAGAGAGAGAGAGAGACTGTTGTGTTGTCTAAAATAAATAAACAAACAAAACACATGATGAAATGTTGTTTGTCTAATGTTTCTAATTCTGTGTTTTTCTATGTTTGTTTGTTTGTTCAATTTCATTCAACCAAACCAAAAAAATTCATTCTTTGCTGTGTTTTTGATGGAAGATTTTCTTTTTAATTCCTAACCATCATCATCAATGGAAAATACTAAAAACAAACAAACAGAAAACTTTTGATAGTGATTTTTCTGGGTTGGTTGGTAGATCGAATAATGGAAACAAACAAACAACCGAAAAAAATCCATGTATCAAATTTCAATCTCTGCAGTAGTAGTTTTTGAAAGCTTTTTTTCCTTGGAAAAACTTCTTCAGAAAAAACTTCAAAATAAATCCTTGAAGAAATTTTCGGAAAAGTGAACCAAATGTTTTCATCATGTCCGAAAAAGCATATTTTAAATGGGAAATCTTCCCGAAAAAATTTTACAACTTTTTGAAAAGCGAAAAAATTCTTGATGAAAAACCCTTGCCACCAGCTATTATCATCTACCGAATGCCAATGGCGATGAACAAAAATCATAACAGAATTATGAATCAAGTTATGAATATCATTCAAATGCAAAAACATCATCAAACATCAAACACCGCACACTTTATTATTATGTAACTAAAAAATATCTCTTCTGTGTGTCTCTTTAGGGATGTAAATTTTGAACAACCAGAAAAAAGCAAACTTTGGTTGATTCATTCAATGAACGAAACGAAACCAATTCATTTAGAATGATTCCTTTGGGAATTTGATATTCAAAACCAAAAACACAGTGAGAAAAAGAAAAGAAGGAAGCTGATGTGGAAAAAAAAGAAAAATCCAGGAGCCCGAAAAAAATACCTTGACATACATGATGATGATTATATTGTCATTGTAATTTTTTAACCCTCCGTTCATCTACCTTCTCAACGAAACAAAACGAAAGAGAACGAAAAAAATAATCAAAATGTAAACACCAAAAAAAAAACTTATCGCAGATGTTTTCGATGATTGTTTTTTTTCTTTCTGATTCTTTCTGGAAATTCTGCTACCGATATATGAAAAAACGAAAGAAAGAATCATAATCAAACAAACGAAAAAAATGATAACAAACGAAACAATAACAATAACTACACAAAAGAAATATAACATCCCCTCATTCATTTGACAAACAACAATAACAAAAAATTCTGTAAAGAATTGAATCGGTAAGCAAGTTATCGCTCTCTCTCTCTCTCTCTGCATGTATCATTCTTGCAGAATCGGAGAAATGATAACAAAAAAACAAAAATCTCATCATCAAAATCACGCGACAATTCTTTCTCTGTGTATGTGTGAAATTCTGTGATTCTTGACGACCTAGCATGGCGCCTTGTATTGTTTTTTTATATATCATTATTCTTCCCTTGTGTTTTTTTCATTTTCGAATTCAATTCTCTCTCTCTCCTCATATCATTCTTCACCAATATTACGAAGAAGAATTGAAATTGTTTCAGCAGCAGCTTCATTATTATTCCTGGATGCTAACCAGGCTGTTGTTACGATGATGATCACCATTCTCTGATTCTAAAAATATGTCCAAAAATGTGTCTGGTGACAACAGATTTTTTTTCTCGTTTCTCCTGGTTATCATTTTCCAACACAGCAAAAAGAGAGAGCAAAAATAACATTTGGGAAAAATGATTGAGAAACATGATTTTGTTTTCGGTGGAAAAAAAACATAGAAATCAGAATCAGAATTCGGTTATTCCAATCTTTCCTTCTTTTAGACTTGATTTTCAAATTTAAATTGGCAAAAAAACCAACTACAGAATTACAGAATATTCTTCCGAATATTCATTTTTACCTTTGTACGTCTTCCAGGTCTATATCTTGTTTTGTTTTTTGTTTACTGTCAATTTTAATTACAAAAAACTGAAACGAGATGCTAACCAGTCTAAATAGGAATTCTATGTATCATTTTTCGAAAAAAAACCAAACCAAACCTGTCATTTTGTCAATTAATTTCTGACATTTGTTTATTTCAATGTTTTCAAAGTGTTAATGAACTCTTTCCATTTTTCTCTTTTTACCAAAAAAAAAAACTTTAGATCCAACCAGCCATTTTATACAATCATCAAGTGGATCAACAACAACAACAACAACAACTCTACAACAACAACAACAATCAAATGATCAAATATATTTCATTATAATATTCATATTAATATTAATAATATTAACATTTGTTATTTATATTGTTTTAAAATATCAATTTCATCGACGTCGTCATAATAATACAAAATCCGGTGGTCATTCTTCAATTTTTAATCATAATTCATGGTTAAATGTTGGTGGTGAATCTGATCATCTTTCACATGGATCTTTCACAGGTCCATTAGATCAGGATGATAATGGTGATCATTCTATTGGTCAAGGACAACCAAATTCATTAACACCAACATTACTTTTACTGCAACAACATAGTGATGGTAGATTTTATAATAAACCAGTAAAAGGTAACCATTATCCAATGGAACCTATTTTAAACACCAATAAACAACAACAACAACAACAGTCAATTACACCACAAAAAATGATGCTAATATCACGTTTGAATCAATCAAATCATCAACAACAATCGAATGGAATGTTAGATCATTTTCTTATGCAACAACCTGGTTCGGTTACAACAACACCATTACCAAATTCAAAAGGTCATCCATTACCAACAATACCACGTGATGATGATAATCAAAGTTTTCGTAGTGGTTGTTCAAGTGCTAATCGTTATGAAGAACCACAATTTTCTAATTATAATAATCATTATCATCAGCATCATCAGCATTTAAATCATAATGTTAACCATCCAGTAAAATCGTCGAAAAATTCAGGTTCTCCACATTCAATTAATACCGGTGTTGTTAATGGTGGTAATTTAGCTGGTACAAATAGTAGTAGTGGATCAGCCAATACAGCATTAACAACAACAGCAAATGAAATTAGTCAAAATGAATCATCCGAACCAGATTATGCTGAACCAATTATCAATGAATTTGATCCAAAATCAATCACAATGAATAATAATAACAATAATAATAGTAAATTTCAACCACCTTCATTAACTTCCGTTCCACCTATTAGTATATCATCACCACAATCAAAAAATTACCGTTATTCATCGGAAGAATATTCTGATTGTTCAAATATCGGTTTACAATATGGACGATATGAAAAATCAATAAAAATTAATCCAGAATTAATACATTATGGTTATTATTCTTCATTGCCAAATCTTGGCGTTGGTTTATATTTACCGCCAGAATTTTTTAGTAATAATCAACCGAATCGAACAACAACAACAACAGTGGTTGAATCGAATGTTGTCGGTGATAATTTATACATTCGATATGGTATCGATATTCGTGCACGTTATCCAGGAATTTGTTCATTAAGTTCAGTGATTACATTGAATTTGTCCAAACATCAACAACAACAACAGATTGAATTTAATCGTCCAGCCATATTATGTTTTCGACATTGTCTTTCATTTCATCAACAACAACAACAACAACAACAAGATCAAACATGGAAACGAAATTTAGTTATTATGTGGCAAGAACAACAACAAAATTCATCAAAAACATCAAAATGGATTGAATTAATTCGTTTGGATGATCAACAACAACAAGATTGTTATGCTTACCTGGATTCGAATAATGTTTATCTGGTTACAAGATTATTTGGTCGTTTTATGTTTGGTTATAAGCAGGATTTTTCTCAATATGGTTCAACAAATTCTAAATCAAATTCAACACTTGAATCACCATCATTTGGTTCGATTGGCCGTTCAGCAACGAAAAATCCTTCGGTAGAATCATCAATGATATCAAAAATGGTCAATTTTTCAATCACTATTGAACAATATAGTCAAACAGAACATCTGATCAAATGTTTTGTTTATGATAATTTACCGGCATCAATATTAATGTTTCAAAATGATCAATTACCATCATGTTCAGAATCATCAACAACAACCAATTCAAAAATTACAAAAAATGATCAAAATAAATTCATTCAAATACTTATTGGTCGTATGTCCGATCCATTACTATTGAAATCATATAATTCATCAACCAAAATTTCATTGCCACCAAATCGTAATTCAACGCTTTGTTTTGAACTTATTCAGCAGCAACAAATTAACCCGTTATATACACGTGGTAATAATATTCCAAATCCAAGAATGGAAATCCCATTGGAACATCTTTGTTCATTAGGACCAAATTCAATGTTACATTGTTCATTTATGGTGCCAAATATGATAACAACAACAACAACAACAACAATGATGGATGATGATGAAGATTTAGTCGATGATGACGACGATGACGATGATGATCAAGAACCAAATTCTTATGACGATAACGATAATGATTCACAAGATTCCGTTCGAGAAGATTCAGGATTTTCTCCTACATATGAAAATAAACCATTGGATTCAAAAAAATCATCCAAATCATCATTATTGCTGAAAAAGAATCAAAGAAATCTTAATTATGAGATAAAAATATGGCAACAAAAATCGGAAAATCGTAAACGTTTTCACCATCATCATAACCATCATAATCATTATCAATCATCATCATCATCGAATACAATCACTTTAAATCGTTTAAATATGCGACCACTACATCATCTACCATCTAGTGGTAGGATTCAAAAATATTTTTTCAATGATAAATATTCTCGTTTATTCAATGATTCGGATTTGAAATTACGACAATTATTAACCGAACGTTTAGATCATTCAATTTATAATGATGATCATTATCCATGGAAACAATGGGCAATATCAATGTTGATGATCAACGATGATAATGATGACCATCACCACCAACATGGATCTTTTTCATATTTCCAACAACAACAATCACCAAGTTTACAATTATTAGAATTATGGGAATCGAAAACAATCAATGAATTAATGATTACGATTGGTGATGATAATGATGGTAATGGTAAAATTGGATCCAAACGATCACCACCACAATCATCATCCAGATCGAAAACAATGCAATTAAAAGAATTATTCTATTCAAAATTATTGCATCAAATTCAAACAACAATCGGTGGTAGTTCGGATTTGATTGATTTAATTCTTGGCCATCAATTTTAATTTGTTTATCTTTTCACTCACTAAATTTCCACATTTTTGCACTCATTAACGAACAAAGCAAATTCACCACAGAACAAATTTTGTTTCATTTTTTTTTTAAATTGTTTTGAACTACAAGTGCCTATTATCCATCCATTCGATTCATTCAAAGTGTCCTAGGTTTATTCGAATAGCGATTCTTTGGAAAAAAAATAACCGCCCATGAATGAAAACATTGAGCTTCAAGAATATTTTGAATTGAAGCCGAACCATTTTTTTTGTTAACCATTTTCAATTTACCTGATTGTAATGCCCTTATTTGTAATTGAATTTATCATGTATTTGGATTTCAACTTTTTACAATGTTTGTTCTTTTTTTTTTTGGAAATTTTCAATTTACTTCAATTTGCTGTAAATAATAACTAATTTTCTTTTTCTTTTTATAAAAAATAAAAAAACATTTTAAATAAAAAACATTTGATAAATGGGTTTAAAGGGTTATTTTTTTCTTGCTATTGATTAATCCAATGATGACCGGTGATTCGTTAATAATCATCATAACCAGGTAATGGAAATGAACGGGCAAATTTTTCAACATCCGATCTTAATTCAGCAATTTGTTGTTGAAATTCATCAGTTTTTAATGTAATCATAAAATCTTTTAATAATTTTCCCGGTGCAGCGGTTGTAATTTTTTTCGCAAGTTTAATACCTATAGTATAAATTAAGTGTTAAAAAATATAATATTGTTAATTAAGGGTTAATTAATTAATTTTTATAAAAATATTTACCTCGATCAATAAATTCAACAACTTTAACCATATCATTTTCATTTAATCCTCTTGTAGTTAATGCAGGTGTACCTAAACGTATACCACCCGGATTCAATGCTGATTTATCACCAGGTACAGTATTTTTATTACATGCAATTTCAACATCTTCTAAAACTTTTTCAGCACGTGCACCATTAACACCAAGTGGACGAAGATCAACACAAACCAAATGATTTTCAGTACCACCTGTTGTAATTGTATAACCTTTCGCCATTAATTCTTCAGCTAATTTTGCAGCATTTTTTACAACTTGTTGTTGATATTCTTTAAATTCCGAAGATGTTGCTTGTTTCATTGCTGTTGCAATACCAGCAATAGCATTTTGATGTGGACCACCTTGTAATCCAGGGAAAACTGTTTGATTAACTTTATCCTCTAAATCGTATAGAATTTTTTCGCCTTTTTTCGTTACTGAACGTACACCTTTACGATAGAAAATAACAGCAGCACGTGGACCACGTAATGTTTTATGCGTTGTGGTTGTAACAACATCAGCATATTTAAATGGTGATGGTGCAAATCCAGTTGCAACCAAACCACTAACATGTGCCATATCAGCCATTAAATAAGCATCAACAGAATCGGCAATTTTACGAAAACGTTCATAATCTAAATGTCTTGGATAACAACTAATACCGGCAATAATTAATTTTGGACGAAATAATTTTGCTGTTATTTCTAATTGATCATAATCAATTAGACCGGTATCTGTACGTATACGATATGGCATTGATTCAAAAAATAATGATGTACAGGAAATTTTTTTCTTATCCGTTTGAAAACCATGTGTAAGATGACCACCATCCGGTAAATCTAATCCCATAATACGACCTTGATGACCAGCTAATGCCGTTAAAGCGGCTAAATTTGCCGGTGAACCTGAATATGGTTGTACATTAACACCCCATTCATCCGAATTCAATCCATATGCTTCCAATGAACGTTTTTGTGCTAATAATTCAATTTCATCAATATGTTCATTACCACCATAATATCTAAGGGTTAAGAGGGGGAAAAAATAATGAAAAATTCATTTGAAAAATGAAATTGAAATAATTACCTAGCACCAGGATAACCTTCAGCATATTTATTATGAAGACAAGTACTTAATGCATGCAATACACCAACACTGGTAATATTTTCCGATGCAATCATTTCAAGACCACGTTTTTGACGATCTTTTTCTTTCTTTATAATTTCGTATAATTCTGGATCACCTTCATCCAATGTTTGCCATAATATTCCTTTACCTTCAGTTACTTTGGCTGACATTTTTGATAATGATGATGAACTATGTATGGATCTTGATGAAATCAAATTATTATTTGGTCGTTGTTGTTGTAAAACACTTGATGTTGTTAATAAGTATGATGATGATGATAAAGTTGAAAAATTTGATGCAGAACAAGTTGATGAAAATAATGATGCTTGATTCGAAGCTAAACGACTAAAAACTACAAATGGATGCAGTCGAAAACAAGATGAGAACATCGAAATCAAATGATTATGATGATGGTGATAAAGTGAGAAAAAAAATCAAAAATCAGGAGATTATTATTGAACAGTGAGTTGATGTGTATGGAGCATATGATTTTTTTTATATTTCGTTTGAAAAAAAGACCAGTTTTTTTTCTTGTCTTGCTTTAATCGAAAAAAATGACCAATCTAATGAAAGAAATTAAAAAAACAAAATTTGAAATGAAATATTGTCAGCAATGAAGAAGAAGAAAAAGAAAAATGACTGGTTTTTATTTCAATCTTGTTTTTCAAAAGTGTGTGTGACACGAATTTTTTGGAAGAAAAATGATGATAAGAAAGAAAAAATGAAGAAGAAAAAAGTGAATTTATACCGTTAAGATCGGTAGCCAAAATGATTTTTGATTTTTCTTAGTTTTTTCAAGCTTCTTCAAATTTCGTTTTTTCTTCAGTTATCACAAATTTTTTTTTGGTTGGAAAAAGAAATAACATTATCATTTTGGCCACATTATCGTGCTAAAATAAACTCCCAAAACCTAAAAAAAATCTATCACTAAATTTATCATTTGAAAGCGAGAAAGAAGCAGTTGATAAACATCTTACCATTTATAATCGCAAATGAAACTAATGAAAAATAATTTTTTTTAACGATGACCGATTTTTTTTTCAAAAAAAATCAAATGAAACGCGAAATCGAAACACACATGAAACATCATTCAAAAAGAACGTGATAAAGTGGGGGGAATTTTAATTTTTTTCCAGGGAAAAAAAGAAACGGAAATCCAAACAAAAATTCGAATCATCTTTTGAATCGATTAATCGAGTGAAGGACGATATCGATAATCGAAATCGAAATCGAATATAAAAAATGTTTATCTAATATTCAAGGTATCATGAGATTTTTTGGTTTGTTTAATTATTCATTTCCAATTCGAATCAATCAATCAAAAACAATCAATCGAAAAACATCAGCTAACATAAACATTCGTTCGATATGGGCAGCAATATGAGACGATTTGGTCGATAAAATTATATCGATCGATCGATCAACGAACGAATGAAAAAATTGGATCACGATGCTACCATATGCCAATTTCCAGCATTGATTATTTATTTATGATAATCATCATCATCATCAATATATTGATTCCATTACAAACATACTGTTGGGGATTTACTTTGTACAATTTTCAAAATTGATAAACAAAAATGAATGAATGATTAGGATGATGATATTTTTTGGAAAATCAAGATTTCCATGTATCATCTTGATTGCTTAATGCTTCCATTTGAAGTTCAACATCATAATCTTCTAATATTTCATTCAAATCAATTGAATTTGATGATGTTAATTTTGGAATTGTTGTTGCAGTTGCAGTTGTTGATAATAATTTTATATTTGATGCTTTTAATAGAATAGTTCCCATATAAACATCGAATGATCCATAAAGTAAAATTTTATGACCAATTATTGATTGTTTTAGCCAATTTATTGGTTCATATTCAATGGCTAAACATTTTTGATAACCATCAGTTAGACAAAATTGCCATAATCTTCTTCCATATCCATAGAATTTTGCTAGATTTTGATTTTTCTTTCCTTTTGTTTCAGGTTTTTCTTCACCATTTTCCAATTCATCATCTTTATTATCATTCATTTTACGTTGTTTTTCTTTCAATTTAGCTTTAACATTTTTTCTGACATTAATTTTCGTTGGTAATGGCCTTGATATATCGATCATTTTTTCAACCTTTTTTTCCAAGAAAAAAACAAGATTATTAAATAGATTTTTCGAAATTATCCTTACTTGCAATATAAAATAACCATTGAAAGTTTGTTTTTCAATATTGAATAGATTTAAATTTAATTCATCCGGTAGGGATTTTGAACACCATTCATTTGTTTCAATCCAATCTTCATTCAGCCATTGTTGAAATATTTTATTAAAATCATTGATATTCGTTGATGAAGAATCAAAACATAATTTTTGTTCAAACCATTCTGGTTTTACATTTGCATGATTGTCATGGAAAAATTGTTTTAATTTTTCCAAATTTCCTGATAAAGTCATTTTTAATCGAAAACTTGAAATTTAAAAAAAAAAATTAAAAATTTTTCAATTTTTTTCAAAACAAACAAACATTCGAATCAAACAATGATTTTCGTTGTTGTTCATAAATGACGTTTCGAATTTTTTTCAAAATTTGATTGTTACGGAAATTCATTCGATTTTTTTTTTTGAAATATAAAAGTGGATGGAAAAACTCTATGTTTCTTTGGTTTTTTTGATTGTTTGTTTGATGATTTGAAAATCGTATATAAAAAAAATAATGGTTCGCATTCGAAAGCCAAGCGTAATCATATGTGATGTTGAAGGTACAACAACATCGGTACGTTTTTGGCATGAAGTAATTGCACCATTTATACGTGAAAATTTAGCATCATGTTTACATGATACATGGCATCAACCGGAAACTATTGATGTTGTTTCTGGTATTCGTTTTAAAACTGCTGAAGATATACGTAATGGTGATACTGAAAGTAAGTTGATGTTGATGATTTGATTCAATGCAAATTTCTCCTTTGTAATTCTACTTTTTTTTCGTTCAGTTCCACCGATTCTTGATGAAAATTCACCACGAAAAGGTAAATTTTCCAGATGATTTTTCGGTGATTTTTTTTATTGAAAAATATCATTTCCCCTATTAGATATGATCGATAGTATTGTAAAAAATGTTTGCTATCAAATGCAACAACGTAAACAATCGAATGAATTAAAAGCCGTACATCTGCTGGTTTGGTTATATGGTTATCAAAATGAATTGTTAAAAGGACATGTTTATCCGGATGTACAACCAGCATTTCAACAATGGAAACATAATCAAGGTATACGTGTATTTACATTTGCAACCGGTGATACTATTGTACAGAAAATGTTATTCGGTTGTTCATTAATGGGTAATTTAATTCCGGTAATGAAGAACATTCATTTTTATCTAGTCAAAATCAACTAAAATGACCTTTCCCCCAAAATTTAGTTAATTGAAGATTTTTTCAATTATGATTCAGTGGGTAAAAAAACCGATCCAGAAAGTTATCGTATCATTTCGAAACGTATACAAATTCAATGTAATTCAATGGCATTTTTATCGGATAATTTAGCCGAATTAAAAGCATGTCAAACGGCTGGTGTACAACCAATTCTGGTTATTCGTTCACATAATCGTGATCTATTAGATCCTTCCATACAACAAGCATTACCATATAAATATATACGATCATTTGAAGAATTAGAATTCTATTAAGAATTCCAGAATAAAAATCGTTTTTATTTTCATTTAGAATTTTTGTCAATGAAAAATATACAAAAATTATTATTCATTGTTTAACTCCTTGGTCGTTCTTTTTTGCCTTTATAAAGTGCCAATAATGAAACATTAGCAACTTTAACCACTTTAAATCGTACACCAGGTATATCACCAACAGCATGACCTTTCCGGCCAAAACCGGCAACTAAAACTTCATCATTTTCTTCGATAAAATTCAAACAACCATCACGTGGTACGAATGCTGTAATTTTTTTACCATTTTTAATCAATTGTACACGAACACATTTTCGAATAGCCGAATTTGGTTGTTTAGCTTCGACACCAACTTTTTCCAATACAATACCTTTGGCATGCGAAGCACCTGCAAATGGATTAGCTTTCCATCTTGTACCTTTAATGGTTCAAATTCAAATAACATAACCAGGTTAAAATCAGAAAGAATCTTATAGAAATAGAAACTTCTTACCAAGATGAGCTTTTTTATAATCTTTATCATGCCAACGTTGTTCACGACGATTGTTGACATGTTTACGTGCTGTTTTCAAACCTTTTGGTTTACCTGCAAGACAAAACAAACGATTAAAATTAGAGAATATTTTCTTGCATCAATTCGAATATTTACCCATGATTTTAGATGAAAAATCACTTTAAATTGAATCAATTTTTTAAATTCTTTTCAAAAGAAGTTGATGAAAATTGACACGAGATTTTTTTCTTTTGCAATGCTGCACACACACACACACGCATACGGGAAAAAGGAAGCTTTTCGAATCGAACACAGAAAGAAACGCGTGAATTCCACACTCGCTCACACAACACATACGTGGACCTTTCATATACAATCGTACGCGAACAGAATATTGAAAAAAATTATAAAATTTTGAAAAAATTTAAAAACTTTTTTTTTATTTTTACTTTTTTTCAACAGATAAAATTTGTTGCAAATGTTAAAAAACCACTATGGCCAGTTATTTCAGTATTCATATAGGTAACCCAATAATTAATTGTCGTTCCATTATTATCATTATTTTTATTAACATCTTTTTCCATAATCTTTGAATCGGAATTTTTCTCTTCTTCTTCTTCATTATCGTTATCATTATTATCATCTTCGGATGTTCGTATCTTTTTATTCATACCATTGATGGTATTATCATTATCTCTGTTATGATGATGGTCACCATCATCGACGTTCATCGATTCTTGAGGATCAGCAGACAAACCATTCGATGTCTCGAATTGTTGATTGAGTTTTAATTTTTCATATGATGCTTTACGTAATTCATATGGCCGTAAAACACATTCAATTGTTTCGATATCAGAAAAATTCAATTTAGTTAACATTTGACATGAACGTTGTACTTGTTCGATACAAGGTGAAAAACAACAAATTTTTGCACCATTTTTCATAACATTTTGAGCTGATTCGATTGCTTCCCATGGATTTGGTAGATCCAAAAATACTGCATCAACTTTTATCGTTGTTGTTGATGATTCGGATTCGGATTGTTCGGGAAATTTGAAACCATCACGACAAACATCACGCTGTTGAACCGAAACAATATGATCAATTTGATGTTCACGAAATTCTTCACGAGCAATTTCAACTCTTTTTTGATGAAAATCAAATGTAAATAATTTTCCATTTGGTGCAATTGTACGGGCAATACTATGTGACAAGGATCCACTACCAGTACCAGCTTCAATTACAAATGATCCGGATCGAAGTTCCAGATTCATCAATATCATACCGATATCAGGACCATAAAGAATTTGTGTTCGATGCGGTAGTAAAAGTGTCCAAATTTCAGGTGTCATATCCAATACCAATACATTTCCTTTATTACATTGAATTCTTGAACCATATGGTTTACCAATTAATTCTTCCATACGTAATGCACCAAGACGTGTTTGAAATACTTCATCACGATCAACTTTTACACGATACATTTGTCTGGGTGTTAGATAAACAACAACCGTATCGCCTTCATCGATTATTGTTTTTAATCGACAAAAACTCATAATTTTTTTTTGGTGGTCTTTGATTTATCAATCAATAATATTTTCTTGTAAGAATATTTAAAATTATCAAAGAATTTTTAAATTTTTTCAAAAACAAACAAACAAAAAAAATCAAATAACATAAACATGCATGCTTCGAACGATCCAAATTCGAACAATTTATACGTTTCAAGTATCTTTTCTTATACTTTCTTTGTACAAATAAAATTTTTTTAAAAAAAAGTTAATAATTTTTTCAAAAATGTCAACATTTAATCAATTTGGTTGTTTTTTTTATTTATTTTTTTTTTGTTGATAAACAAAAGGAAAACAATGTCCGAATCCGAGTGTTGATCATCAACATCATTGATAATTTTGTGGATAAGGAAAATATGAACCAAATGGATTGGTTGGATAAGGTGGATTATTATTAGGATTATTCGGATTATGATGATCATTCATTGATAATTGTGAAAATGGTAAACTTGGTGGTGCAGGTGCCTGTCGCCAAGGTACAGCACCCGGTAGCTTAGGCATCGATGATTGTACGTTACGTATTTCTTCGGGCATTTTTTCCGCTTTTATACGACGCATATGAAATAATTTACGTTTTTCATTAAAATCCTAATTTTTTTTTTGAAAAAAAACAGGGTGATTGAAAAAACAAAACAAAGAAAATCATTTTAGAAATGTGAATTTAGAACAACAAGAGAAAGAAAGATTACCTTAAGAAATTCATCAATAGTTAATTCTTTACGTAGCAAAGAATTTGCAACTTCATCGGATGATTCTTCAGCTTCAGCCATTGCTGCTTGCATTAATGCTAATATTGTATCCAATGAATGTTGTCGACCAAATTCTTTTAATTTGGATTTTTTCCTATCCAAATTTTGTTTCATTTGTTGACATTCATCAAATGCTTTTGTCAGTTGTTGTCGTTGTATACGATAAGTTGATTCGAATGAAAGATTATTTTCGGCAATTTGTTTATTCTCTTCGATCAAACGTTCACGTTCACGTTCTAATGTTTTGATTTGCGGCAAATCACGAATAAAATCTTCAATTCTTTCATTTGATTGATCGTTTAGTATGGAATCCAGTTCATCATTAGTGAAATTTTTTAGTAATGAATTTATACTACTTATATCCAGATCATTTTGTGAATAAAAATGAGCCATTTTCGTTGGAAACAAAATTTCAAATTGAAAGTTTTTGTTTTGTTTTGTTTTTCTGGTTTTCCAAATTTCTATACGCAGTTCATTTGTCGTTTTGTTTTGTTTCACATCCAAACAATTCTCGAAAAAACAACCCTAATCGACTATTTCAACCGAAAGTGGTAGCCAAGGTTAAAATCCTTTTAAAAAATCAATGACTCAATCTTGCAGGAGAGAAAAACAAAACAAAACAAAACAAATTTTTGTTTGTTTTTAATCAAAATTCGTAATTTGAATCAGAAATTATCGTTAAAAATGTCATCATCAATGGATTCTTTTGCCGGTCTAGGTGGTGGTGGAGAATGTTCGAATGAAAATAGTGAACCAATGGAAATTCAAGATTCAGCAGCCGGATCAATTGCAAATGAAACAACAACCGATGATAAAGATAATATCGATCCATCAGATGATCAAACATCAACAGATATTTTAAATGATCCAATCTTCTCGACAGCTGGCCAACAATTGATTGATTTTCTACAATATTTAGAAGATTATCAACCAACCATACCAGATTCCGTAACAAGTCATATAATGCATCAATCTGGTTTCAATACTAATGATACAAGAATATTACGCTTGGCATCGTTGGCAAGTCAAAAATTCATTGCTGATATTGCAAATGATGCATTACAACATTGTAAAATGCGTACAACAGCATTATCACAGAATAAAAAACAATCAAAAGATAAACGTTATACATTAACATTTGAAGATCTGGTTCCAGTATTGAATGAATATGGAATTAATATTAAAAAACCACAATATTTTTTCTAAGGAAAACAGCAGCAAAAAAATAACCCTCAAGTAATCAACTCAAATAAATAATCTTATTCTGTCTTTATTCCAATTTTAGTTTCATTTCATCAACCATAATCATAATCAAATTTTGTTTGAAAATTTCTTTATTCAAAAAGTGAATAAAAACAAAACAAAAACTTGGTGTTTATACAAATCGTAATTGTTGTTGTTTAATATTAAAAAAAATGAGAAAGTCAGAGTGAAATAATGGTATTTTGCTTGAAAAATGGAGGTTTTTTTTCTTTGGTGGTGGTGATGGTGGTTAACGATTACAAATATCGGATAAACCACGTATACGTCGTACTAATTCCATATCTTCAACTTTAATCGTAATACGTTTTGTATGTAATGCAGCAACATTTAAATCTTCAAATAATGTAACCATATAATTTTCGGTCATTTCTTGTAAGGCAAATAATGCCATTGAATTCCAACGATAACCAATTTCTGGCCGTAATTCATCCAAAATTTGTTTTACCAATCTAATTTTTGGTTTTTGTAAAGTAAAATGGGTTAATTTTTTCTGAAAAAACTTTGATTATGGAAAAAACTTTTACCTCATAAATGATAATCTCGGTATCAAAAGACCAACAGTTTTTTGATAAAATTTTATTTCTTGTAAAGCACGATTTTTACGATTCGAACGTTTACGTATAATCATTGGATCGGAATGACGTCGTTTTTTCATTGTAAACGATTGATGTGGTGTTGAACATTTTCGCCATACTTTTTCATTTGTTCGTGTCATTATTATTCGATGTTTCGTTTGTCCAAAAACCAAGAAAAAGAATCCAAATTGTCAAAAAATTTTCGTTGAAAATAGAAGAAAAACAAAACGTCAAAAAAATCACATTGAAATAAGGTGTGTGTGTGTTTGGGTAACGATTACGCGGGCAATGGTTGAAAGCCGCAGGCCAAGATTTTCAACGGATTTTTCTTTTCTTTTTTTCGTTCTGTTCATGCGCAAAACAAATTCGAACAAAAAAAAAACAAAAACATTTGGCGACGTTCAAAAATGACGTTCTTCGATGAATTCTGTTGTTTTCAAAATCATAAAAAAAAAAATTTAATTTTTTGAAAATTTTTGTAATTTTTTTTTATAAATCAAAATTATATTTACATTTTGACAAATAATAATAAGTGTTTGTTGTATTAACTTTTTTAAATCAAAAAAAAAAAAAAAAAAAAAAAAAAAAAAATAAAAAACCCCCCCCCGGGTTTTTTTTTTTTTTTTCAAT